CTTGTATTTTTTAATGTTGTTGCTTTAGGCAAATATAAGTGTATAGTTTTCTTTAATGTTTTTGTGATCTGGTTATATCCTGATAAATTTAGTCTATTCTAGAAATATACTTGAGCTGATTTGATAATGTTTATCTTCTTGCTATTAGTTGCCAATATGTCTTTGCTTCTAATTTAATAGAGCTCTTTATTGGTATTGTTTATACTTACTTGCCAGTTTTATCTTCTTGAATCAGCTGGCTTCTCTACTGTAAAAAGCAATCTATCTTGTAATATCCAGTTATATCTAATTCAAATTAATTTCAGCATTTCAAATTCATTTGCCAATACTTGTTTCACTACATAATATCAACTTGGAACTGGTTTATGTCTATGGCCTTGGGGATCTTATATTAGTTTTTAGTTTAATAGAATGTTGAATTTTTTATCTATAAGCTGATTTATGAATATAATGTTATGTTTTTTCAATAAGATTATTGCTTTGTTATAAGCTCTAAGATTATTTAACAAGATTTAATTGTGATATATCTTTCTTTCCATTGGAATATGTTTTTTTAGTATAAGTCTGAAAAGATAATACATAATTTGTTAACTGTTTTAAGTATTTAAACTAAAAAGTTTTTCTTGTATAGATTGTAAGAGATGTCATTTGAAAGCATGTTTGCTTGTTTTTAATATTTTATTTGTACTTGCTTAAGATGAATAAGAATCAATATATCAGAGTGATTCATGTTATTGAGATGATTTGTAAAATTAATAATTTGACTTTCTATTTAAACTTCATAAAATAAATTGCTTCTTTATAGTAAGATATTTTGCTAATTTCAACTAAAAAATCATTTCTAGTCAATATTTTTGATACATAACTATTGTGATTCTAAGGAATAAAAAATTTTTATTTTTCTAAAAATAAAAGAAAAAAATAAAGAAAAAAATAAAGTTATTTTAATAAATAAAAACATATCTAAATTAATTATCAGTTTAATAATAAAAATCTTCTTTGATCTTAAAAAGAAAAAAAACTATCACAAGAGAAGAAGGTGAAGATTTTAAACTATTTTTAACAAGATAATACCTTGATACCTTGTTCTTTTATTATATTCAATTGTATCATTAGTTTTAATATAGTATAATATAGAATATATGAGGAGCATATATCTTGTTTATATTTTTTATATGTTAATTAATCAGTTCAAAATTTCAGTCAATTATCAATTAGAATTTTTAATATAATAAAAAATTCAGAATCAAACTGAAGTAAGCAAAATTTCTCAAAAAAAATCAAAAAAATTTTTGATATACTTAAAAATACTATTATATTATATAATTGATAAAAAAGATTATATATCTTAATAAACTTTCTACTAACTTATCTATCTACCTCAGATAGCAGATGTTCACTTATGATAGATACAAGATTTTTATAGAGCTTGAGAAATGTATTTACTAATAACTTATTTTTTAAAGTTTTAGATCTAAGGAAAATATAATAGAGGATATTTTTTTTGACAGGTTTTTTCTTTTTAATAAAGTGTTCTTGCTATAAATTAAATAGGTAAAGTTTTGTTTATTTTATCATTAAAATATATAAAGTTTTTTGAAAAAGAAAAGGTAGATAAGTGGAAGGAGATATCAGCCTTCAAAAAGTAAAGTATAAGGAAAATATATAAACTTTATTATTAAAAAAATAAAAATTTTCTTGAAAACATCTGTTTTTTGGATTAGCAAAAGGATTAGTAAAAAGAGTTTTTTTTTTTATAATAATAATAGACTTATATATAATATACAGTATATATTATATTATTTTATATATATAATTTTTAATAAATAATAAAAAAAAAAATATAAATAATTAAAAATATATAGTTATTTATTAGTAAAAAGTCTAAAGAAATTGTAAAATATTAAATTAAATTGTTTAATATTTTTAAAGAAATAAAAATTCATTATTTAAAGAAAATAAAATTGATTTAGAAAATCTTTAAAAAAAATAATTATATATAATTATATTATATTAATATTTTTATAAGATATTTAAATATTATTAAAACAAAAAAAAACTCTTTTCACTAATCCTCTTGTTAATCCAAAAAATAGACATTCTCAAAAATAATTTTTATTTTTGATAATAAAGTCTATATACTTTCCTTAAAAATATTATTTTCTGAAGGCTGGTACCTCCCCACTTGTTTACTTTACTTTCTTCGAAAAACTTTGGATATTTTAGTGACAAAATAAACAAAACTTTATTTATTTGATCTACGGCAAGAACACCTTACTGGGAAGAAGAAACCTGTAGAAAAATACACTCCATTACTTTTTCCTTAAATCAAGAACTTTAGAAAGTGAACCACTAGCAAATATATTTCCCAAGATTCATAAGAATCTTGGGTCCATCATAAGCGAACACCTTGGGCTAAGGTGGGTGAATAAGCTAATTAAGCCTATCAGTGAATACACTTCCAAGTAACATAAGAATCTTGGGTTCACTGTAAGTAAATTTCTTTGATCTAGGCAGGTGGATAAGTTGATAGGAGTCTATTATCCAGGTGTATGAACCTTTTCTACTATTTATACATGTCTGTAGATAGTACTTTTTAACATATTCAATTTTTTCTTGGTTTTTCTGGAGAATTTTGCCTACCTTAGTTTGATCCTGAATTTTTTGTTACACTGAAAACTCTAGATAGTGATTGGCTGAAATCTTGGATTGGTTAATTAACAAATAAAAGAAATGTAAACAAGACACATACCCACATGTGCCCTGCGTCGTATCATATTATAACTGATAATATAATTGAATAAAGTGAAAGAGCAAGGTGTTAAGATGTTCTCTTGATAAAAAGTGTTTGGAAGTTTTCCTCCTCCTCTCTTGTACCAGTTTCTTTTCTCCTCAAGATCAAAGAAGACTCTCATTAGACTAGTGATTAATTTTGTTGGGATTTTTATTTTACCAGTGCAAACTTTTCTCCTTCCCTTTTACCCTTCTCTTTTATCTTCTCAAAAAATAAAAATTTTATATCTTAGGACCACAGAGGTTAAGTTGAAGTAAACAGTCTTAATAAAGGGCTGGTGATAATATTGAGATCCACAAAAAACATGGGTCAAGATAGAGCAACTTTTTTTATTTCCTTTAATTACATATAGAGGCCAATAACCATTGACAAGTATACCGTATAAAGTATAATAAGTTTAACCTATAGTATAGATCTGTCAGACACTAGATGTGTCTATACATTTGTAACTGAAGTTAATTCGAATCCATCAGTTTGAATGCAAACAAAACTTGAATATATGGTTTGATTAAGTATAAAAAAAAAATTTTTAAATATTATTAAAAACAAATATTATTATATCAAATATTTATTTATTATATAATTAACTGACTTGTTAAAAAGAATTTTAAATAAATATTTAAAGTTAATTTAATATGTAAAAATAACTTATAAGAGAAATTATAAAACAATAACTTATTATAATATAATACTATCTGAAAATTTATTGAATTGAACTTATTATTTGAAAGAAGAAGTGAAAAAATTAATAGAAAATATAAAAAACAAAAAATTATTAAAGAACTATTAATATATTTAGAAAAGTATCAAATTAAAAAAGTAAAATAATAAATGAGATTAGGAAGGTAATTATTAAGATGAAATTAATAGAAGATATAAAAATATCAAAAAAAAAAAAATACAAAGTAATAAATTTTAAAAATCTTTAAATAAATCAATTAAGAAAAAAAAAATTGAAAGAGAAAAAAAAAACAAAAAACAATAAATAACTTAATTTATATAAATGATTTTTTGTTATGTTCAAATTAATTTGTTTTATTATTATATTTTAATAAATTTTTTGTTAATTATAATTACAAATAATAATTGAATTTTATTAATTATTTTTATTTGCTAAATAATAATGAATTAAATATTAAGATATATATACTGTATATAAATTCATCAAATTTTTAAACTTAAAATACTATATATTAAATTATAATTAAGTTATATATCAAATAATTGTATTTTATTTATTAATTTATTGTCAAATACTATTATATTATAATCAAACTATTACAAACATTTATTTTCTAATTATATTAATTTAATGCCAAGTAGAATCAAATGACATAAAATTCAACTTGAATTTAACTATAGAAATATATATAATTCGAAACATGCCGAATAATCAAATTTCGACTAGTAATGGTTTTTTTTTGTATATTAAGTAATTTAAATTACAAAAAACCTTTGTAGATAATTTTTTTTTTTTGATTTTATATTTTAAAAAATTTTTTTAATAATAAAAATGTCGTTATATTCTTACTTTAGTTTAAGGTCCTATTTTTAATTCAATTATTTTGAAAAGTTGATTTATATGTTACAAAGAGTCAAATAATATATCTCTTCCTGTTTTACTAAAATATCAAAAGCTCATTATTCATTTTATTAAGTAGTTAAACCGGATCAAAAAATATATTATTAAAATAACAACTCATTGGAATAAAAATTTGTTACAGTACTTCTATAATGTTTCTAAACATATAAACTTTTGTTATTTAATTCGATACAAATTGTCAAAAGCCTGATATTCTGTGACAATATAAAATCCGGATCTATATAAAGATTCTTAATTATACTAAGGTCGTTGGCTTATAAAACATGTAAATTTTTTCCCGTTTTAATAAATTTTAAACAACGGGCATGTGTTTTAATGTCCGCTTAATTATTAGATCACGGATACTAACCATCCAAAAAAATTCTGTTTTTTTTTTTGCAATGTTCTTTGTACATTATAGATTGACTTAAACTGCTTGAGGCAATTTTGATACGAAACACTAAACCTTTAAGAATTACATAATTTGGCACCAATACGCCTTACTTTTTTTAGCATTTCTACTGCATGACATTTTACGTTCGTAATATTATTTTTAAATTCTAGTAACTGAATTTTTAATAAAGAACTGATTCCTTTGTACTTGGTTAAAGTATAATGAATATAATGAGTGGTCTAATAGCGAAAAAAGCATTTAAAATAATAACTCTAAATGGAATAGTTATACCATATTCTGCATAGATCTTTTTGAAATTTTTGATTAAATGTAAGGAGCACATGTATTTTAATTGATGATGAGTTTCTAACCGTACATCAATTCTAAAGATCTCAAACAGTCTCAGCTTCAATAATGAAAATTTAGTCAGAACCAGTAAGCACACATTGCCAATAAATCTAATTGTTACAAAACTGATCCCCGATTTTATTATATATAGTTATAAACTGACTCGTATCGTGTAAAACCATTTTTTCTTCGCGATTAGGAACGTAGCGATGTCTACTCTAGTAAAAAAGATCTGTTGTCTTGGTGCCGGTTACGTCGGTAAATACATATGAATAATTAATAAATTCAACGGAAAACTCTTCACTACATAAAATGTATTTACAGGTGGTCCAACGTGTGCGGTCATTGCTTACAAGTGCCCTCACATCAAAGTTACTATCGTTGACCTAAACGAAATTCGCATTGCCGCCTGGAATTCTAATAACCTTCCGATATACGAACCTGGACTTGATGAAATTGTTTTTGCTTGTCGAGGAAGAAATTTATTCTTTACAACAGAAGTTGAACAAGCTGTCATAGAAGCAGATCTCATATTTGTATCTGTGAATACACCAACAAAGAAGGTCGGTATGGGTGCAGGATATGCTGCTGACTTAGCGTAAGTATCAAGAAACATCAATGGATAGTCAGGTCGTATTGCATAGCGTTAATTCTGAGTTTAAATGTTTAAAGTTCAGGTTATATCGAGGTTAATAACGGATCATAAAAGAGATGTCAGTCGGATTATAGATTTGATTTTAATGATACTTCTGAATTACGCGATAAATTTTTATTTTTATTTTTTTTATCTGTGCAAAATATACAGATATGTCGAATCTGCTACTCGCCAAATTGCCGAAGTTGCAAGAAGTTCAAAGATTGTCGTTGAAAAATCTACTGTACCGTGCCGTACTGCTGAAAGCATGCGAACAATATTGGAGGCAAATTCTCGTGATGATATCCGATTTGATATTTTATCAAATCCCGAATTTCTTGCCGAAGGAACTGCTATCAATGATCTACTACATCCGGATCGTGTGTTAATAGGCGGTTTACAAACACCCGAGGGTCGACGAGCCCAAGAGGCCTTGGTCGAAATATACGCGCAATGGGTCCCCACAGATAAGATTATCACCACCAACCTATGGTCATCCGAGCTTTCAAAGTTGGTGCGTAATTTGTACTGTAAAAAGAGTGAAAATCTGATATACAAAATCAAAGAGCTAATATTATTTTGCTTACTTACGATGTAGGCTGCTAATGCTTTGTTAGCTCAACGTATTTCATCGATCAACGCTTTGTCGGCTATCTGTGAGGCAACAGGTGCGGACATTGATGAAGTAGCTTATGCTTGCGGACGAGATTCACGTATTGGACCGAAATTTTTGAAAGCATCAGTTGGATTTGGTGGCAGTTGTTTTCAAAAGGACATTTTAAACTTGGTTTACTTATCGGAGCAACTTAATTTACCCGAAGTAGCCGCATATTGGAAACAAGTGGTTGATCTGAATGAATACCAGAAGAAGCGTTTTGTCTCTTGCATAATTAAAACCCTGTTCAATACCATTACAAATAAAAGAATTGCGGTATTAGGGTTTGCTTTTAAGAAAGATACCGGTGATACCCGCGAATCAGCTGCGATCACTTTGTGCAAAGATTTTATTCAGGAGAACGCGCAAGTTCGTATTTATGATCCAAAGGTCACAGATGAACAAATCTTTTTGGATTTGAGCGAACCAGGCGTCTTGGATAATACAAAATCATGTAAGCAAATAATAAATTCTCTCATTCTGTAACTTATAAATATCTCACGGAATATGTTTTCTTTTTGATATAGTGAAAAAACGTGTTACTATAGCTCGATCTGCCTATGAGGCTTCCGAAAATGCTGATGCAATAGTTATTGCCACCGAATGGGATGAATTCAAGGTTAGTTTTCAAATACAGGTTGGTTTGGTCATTGATTGCAGATTCTTACCTTTATTTTTTTTAAGGTGTTGGACTATGAAAAGATTTACGAGAAAATGCATAAACCCGCGTTCATTTTTGATGGGCGTCTTATTATTGATGCCGAAAGATTGAGATCCATAGGATTTCGTGTACACACCATTGGCAAAGCATCCATCTAAATGTCATAATAAATTTCTTTTAAAATAGACGATCTTAGAACTTATGGTAGAATAGTTATTTGGGGTATCATAGAACATAATTTTGAATTTATAAAGCAATTAATCTTATTAAACAGCATTGGATTCTACTTTAAATAACTATATATTCAGTACATTTGCTAAATAAAGTTTAATCTCATCCAGACAAGCAGTTTTTGAAATAATATAATCATTGAAATTTTATAACATTTCAAGTAACAATTAAATATATTGTATATACAGTAATAAAATAACATTTATTTATTTATTTTTTATTTTATTAGAATTTTTTATTATTATTAACTAACGTGTTAAAAAAAAATTTCAATATTAAGAAAAAATAAAAAATTTTTTTTCTATAGTTAAAAGGAATAAACAAAAAATTATATTATATTAATATAAACATTTTTTATACAAATTGTATAGATTTTATTTTATTTTTTTTATACCGGCAAATTACATAGATTTTATATTTACTTTTTATTAAAAATAACATATACAGTGCATTACAACCATTTTGAAATTTTATTTATGTAATATAAATGTAAATAAGTTTTTTAAAACAAAATCAATTTACTGTATATAAAATTTTAAACATATAAAGAACCTATTTTATAAAAAATATATACAGTATATCCTTAAAATTTTAACTAATTTTGTTTTTTTTTTATAAACAAATTCTTAGTTATTTTCAAAATATATACATAATAAAAACTATATTATATTTGTAAAATAATAAATAACTTCTGTAAATAAAATAATTAATATATTGTAAATATATCAATTATCTATTACAATCTTAAAAAATTAAATTTCAAAAATAATAATTCAAGAAAATTTGATAAAAATTATTTTCAAAAAGATTATTGTATATATATTAAAAATAATAAACTAGTATTTATATTATAATTAATATTAAAGTATATATTTAATTATTTCAAGATATAAAATCTGTAAATCTATAGTATAGTATATATATGTGATAGAAATAGATAGATTCTTGATGCAATTTAATGCAATTATTTGATGCAATTAATTGAGTCACTATTAAAACATATAAAATAATTAAGTCAGACACAATTATTTTTAAGAATTTTGGCAATTAAGTTAACAGCAAAATAATTTACACCATATGTATAGTATAGTGGTTAGTACTTTACTGATCAGATTATAAGATATCAATTCAATCCTATGTAAAGGTAATTGAATAAAATTAACATAATATCTGATACTATAACCAGTTATATACTGTTTTTCATAAGAAATCATTTATATACTAATTCAGCAAGTATTAAGATTGTGATTTTTCTATTAAAGGCATAGTAATTTAATAATTATTTGATTAATGTTATAATGATCATTAGTAGAACTTCTAATAGTACCACTTTGATACTTGTTTAATACTAGTTCGATACTTAAATTTACTATAAATTCATATAAATGGGTTACAACTCATATATTAAATTTATTATAGATCAGTACTATTTCAATATCACTTAAATACTGGTTCAGTACTTTTTGAAGTCCTAATTATTAAACAATTGAGAACTCTTATATTTGAATATACAAATTAAATTATATTTTATCTTAATCAATTTTTATTAACTTTCAAAAACAATTATTTATTTAAATATATATATTGAACTATACTTCATTTTAACAAATTTGCTTAACATTTTTCTTTCCTATTGGCTATTAAATAAAGAAGCTTTGAAGAAGAGTATTGAATTGACACTATTATCTTATACGAAATAATTACCTCAACAGCTTATCATATATATAAAAGTTGTGCTCTGCTTGATATTTATATTCCTAAATTTGACAACCTAAGTCAACTGGTTTTGAACTGAAATGTCTACTAGGAAATAAAGGATTTTGGGAGCTTGGTTATTATGATTTATATGATTCTTAAGGAGTTGCATCCCATTTAATCACAAGAGCCCTAAATTTGATAGCTAGTATCAACTACAAACAAAAATTGGAATATTTATTAGAAAGTATATATTTATGTTAAGGCTCTTCTGCTACATTAACTATGTAAGTAAAAAGATATAATATAATAAGTAATTTAGGAAATAGTTAGCAGTACCTATTGCCCTTACATAAAAATTGGACCAGTAGGTTAGATGGTTTAAAACTAGTGATAGGATTTCTATTACCTATATAGGTTTCTTTCAAAAATATGAATCCATTTTATGAATATCATTAGTATCGCTAGGGCAATAAGTAGATAAACTAGTATTTAGCTATTGTAATAATAATAAACGATATTTAATATAATATAAAATTAATAGTTATTTAATAAAATTGTACTATTTTACTATATATAAAAAAAATTATTTCAAGATATATTTTGTCAAAAAAGTTTTTAAACAAATATTTTTTATAATAAATAATAAATATAAATATATAGATCTGTGGATCTATAGTACAATAGTTAATACTCTACAGGTCAAATCACAAAATACCAATTCAATCCTATATAAAGGTGATTGAATAGATTAATATAGTATCTGACACTATAATCAATTGCATGCTGTTTTTTATAAGAAGCCATTTCATATGCTAATTCAGTAAGCATTAAGATTATAATCTTTCCATTAAGGTGTAGTGATATGATGATCATCTGATTGGTATTAAGATAATTATCTAACGAAAGGTGTCACCACTAAAGATAGGTCCCTAAAGTATTTAGTATATAAAATTTACATCCTTTTATGTCCATGTCCCCTAGAGGACATAATTTCTAGCTCTTTATTTCAATAGGGACATAATTCCAGAAATGATTTATATAGATACTTAAAACTATAAAAAACCTTTGTAGATAGTTTTTTTTTATTTCTTAATATAGAAATAAAAATTTTTAATAATAAGGGACATTTGAATTATGTCCTCACAAATAATTTAGGGACCCATCTTTAGTCACCACATATTTGGAAATACAGATTGAACTGTATTCCATCTTAACCAATTCTTATTAATTTCCAAAAACAATCACTCATTTAAATATACAGATTGGACTGTACTCTATCTTATCAAACCTGCATAATACTTTTCTTTCCTGTTGACTGTTGAATAAGAAAACTTTGAAGAAGAGTACTATATTGATATTACTCTTGTGTGATATGGTCTCTCCTCAATCAATATAAGAGTTGCAAACTGCTTGACATTTATATCCTTAGATTTGACAACCTAAGCCAACTAGTCTAAAACTGGAATGTCTACTAGGAGATTAAAAAATTCCTTAAGAAGTCATACCCCACTTGGTTACAAGAGTTCTTAGATTTAATAACTTAAAACCAACCAGTAGTCAAAACTGGAACATTAGTTAGGGAATACATCAAAATATCAAGATTTCTCTGTTACAATAGTTATGTAAATGGAAAGGTATAATATAATAAGCAACTTAGAAAATAGTTAGCAGTACTCATTGCTCTTATACAAATTGGATTGATAGGTTGGATAGTTTAAAACTAGTGGTAGAATTTTTATTCCCTAGATAAGTTCCTCTGAAAATATGTGACACACTTCAAAGGTAAATAATATATCATTAAATATTAAAAGTAAATAGGTTAGTATTTAGTTATTGTAATAACAATAGATAATGTTTGATGTAATAACTTAAAAATTGATTATTAAGTTAATAAAAGCCTGCATCTAATGCTATTCTACTAAAAAAAAAATAATAAATAAATATTAATGTATTTAATATAAAACTTTAAATATATATTTTTTAGAATATAAAAAATAAAACATTAAGTTTTTTTTAATACTTTATTAATAAATTTATTATAAAATTTGATTTTTAAACTAAAAAAATTTTGATTATAAATTTTTTATAAATTTTATATGAAAATTTATTATTAGAAAAATAATTTTTATTATATAAAATTTTTAAAAAAAATCATTTATAAAATTAAAAAATAATAATTTAACTAATAAAAAAATTATTTTGTTTTTTTTTTTATAAATTAATTTTAAAAAATTTTAGGTTAATTTGTTTAATTAAAAATTAATTAATTAGTTTAAAATTAATAAAGATTATTTTTTATTTAATTTTGATTTTATTTTACAAATTAATGAATTAAAACTATAGTATATAATTTATTTGTTTATTTATTATAAGTTAATTAAATTAATACTTTTGATTATCAATTAATTTTCAATAAATTTTAATAATATACAGTGCCGGTCATAAGTAACCATACACCTTTTAAAAATTCAAATCTAATCCAATTGTTTTAAAAATGTTAGGACAAATAGTTTATCACAATTCCTGATCCTCCAAAATTTTTCAGATTTTTGTGATTGCTAGAA